TTGCTAGAAGTTTGTTAAACTGACGCCCTGTCTCTTTCACATCTCAAGATTCAACTTGAGAACGCCTTCGTCTCTTCTATACTGTGGCATGCCCATGCTTCAAACCCTGCAAAGTCAAACATTTTGAGGTATACCTGGAAAGTTGTCTGTGCCTTGCTAATTCCCTTGTATACCCAACATGTTGATATTGTGTAAATATTGTATAGCACATGATCACATATGCCAGGTAAATTGCTGTAACAATCATACTGGGTCAAATGAATCACGGCTTACTGAATATTGACCACATTTGTGAGGTATATGTACCTGGTACCTGGGGGTTCAAACACAGCATCTCATGAATCATTCTCAACGGATAGAACGTCGTAAATCCACTTCGTGCCATCACAGAGCTGCAGAAAGAATTGGTGGCGTGACTGCCAGGTCCTGTGACGGCCAGATCCTGTTAACTATAAACATCGATGGCTGCTTTGAACCAGCTGACAAGAGGAACTTTCATGATCTTAAGAATTCCAAAAATATTTGCTAGGGCTACTGGGTATACTGCTGTAAAAAGTCCACAAACCCAACGTGACAGTCCGGGGTTGATGGCAAAGATCAGAATCATCCAAAATCCAACATTCCCCTTCATTGAGGCTTCACAATTATTTTGCCAACTAGATCAAACATCATCAAACAAACTAGGTAACTATAGTCTTTTCGTTGCACGAATTCTCACCGCACGATTCGAAACGGCAACGATCCGCACCGTCTCCACACGTTCTCCGCGCGGCCACGTCTCCCCTCGCCTCCTCGACGCCTAAACGCTGCGCCAGCTGGCGCTGTCGAAGCGCCTCGCCGGCCGAGGATAACGGTCACTCACATGGTGAGAAAGCGAGGCGGGCATATTCCAAGTTGAGTCTGAGATTTTCGGGGACTGGTAGATGATGCTACGAGTAGACTTCGGTTGTGTTGGACTTAGTAGGAACATGTTGAACGCTTGACTGTTCAGTAGTTTGTCTTCCGGCTGGCGATGTAGTGCGTGAGCTTTTGGTCAAGCAAGACTCACTCAAAGAAATCTACGGTAACTAAAAGCCACACAATGATCTCCAAACACAAAATGGACAAGCACACCAATGTGCACATTCAGCCCTTCAGCCCTGGAACAGCTGAGTTTGCACGTCTATCGGATGTGCACGTACAACGTGCAGGTCATGGTGTCGCCCATGGTTCACCCATCGTCGCCGGTTTCCAACGCCGAACATGGCCACAACTGATCGGATCGAAAGCACGGCAAAGTACGGGGGGGTTCCCTTCCACCCAAGGGCGGACATGAGTCCAACTTGTATAATAATGTATAATATATGATATCTTACTGATCATAACATTGACGCTTGTCAAAAACGAGGGTTGCGTTTCTTGATGTTGCAAATGATTGCAATCCTTTTCGCCCTAGAATCCTGCACTCTGATACCTTTGAAGGTGCGCATGGTCGACATCTTTTTGCTAATTTTATATCAACTCAATGGATTTGTTTGAGGAAGCCACGGATTTCGCTGGTTCGTCATTTTCGAAGAGTCCGTTGCGAAAGAAAGAAACCAGGAATTGCAAGACCCAAAACCATAGGTTTCCCGTATATCTTGCCTTAAACCAAACCATGGGATTTAAACGGTCCATACATCAATTCCATACCGGCCTTCCTGTCCGATCTGCGGTGGGCCGGCGGGAAGATGAAGACAGTAAACAAGAATAAATAAACATAATTGGCTGCCTGAAGTATTACTGTATATTTTGTTCTAAATATGTTTATTATGTTTCTCATTACAGTATACATGGCCTGGCGGGTTCGAGGGTTCCCTTCTCCATCTATCTGGTCAAAGAGTTGTTCTGCAGGACGACGCATCTACAAAAAGGACACATCCCAATTTGGAGCTTTCCCGAAGATGTTCAGTTCAAAAACAACGAAAGAACAACTCACACTCCGACACTGCCTCTTTGCGCTTGGCATCTGCTTTCTCTTGCAGCAAATCCAAGCGCATCCTCGGCCACCCAAAGCTGCGTTCGTCGTTTTTGGTTGCAACACCGGGTAAGGATACTGACCCAAAAGGCTTGGGTGGTCTGCTAACACACACCTCCCAGGCTACACACCTCAGGGTGTCTACTAATGCTCCTTAAGCCGGTTAAGGGGGGTCCGTTAACCAAGCGCTGGCAGACCTACGTTTTCGGTACAACAAATTCGTTCATGTGCGATAGTCTGGCTTGAAGGATCTTCACAACTGCATTTAAGTCCTTCTGCATGGTAAGTCCTTCTGCCGCATCATAAGAGAAAACGTGGACAAAAGTGGCAAGCCTGAGCAAATCAGGCTGGCGAGCACACTCTGGGCACACCAACTTCACTTGCTCGGCATCTTCGTACTTCCCCTGTCAGTTCAACTTGGAGGATAGCTTCCCAGCATGGCTTCCAAAGGTTGGCTTCCCCTGCCTTCCGAAGTTCACAAAACCCCTTCCGAGGCTGTGCTTTTCAAACACTGTCCCCAGCATCTGAAACAAAGTGTCGAGTTTGCGTCATCTACAACTCAGAACCCAAATCTGTGAGATCATTCTGCAAGACGAGTCTGAGTCTTTTCTATTACTTAGTGCCAATGCACTAAAGAATAACAAACTGTCACAACAATCCAGCCAAGACATGACCGTGAACTCGCCCAATGTGAAAAACGTTCGCCGGTGACTGGGCGGTGATGACCGGTGATCCAGTGCCTCGAGCTCAAACTGCTTGCGCTGTTGATCCAGCGCCTGCACGGTCTGGGTTCGGAAGCGATCGATCAAGGATCCACTCATGGGAAACAAAAACACGGAGGGGACGGGCGTTGCCAACACGGATTTCTGATTGGAACTGAATGGAACTGAACGAATCCACTCAAATGCGAATGCATGGATGTTCACGGATTTTCGCTGATCCGAGAACGTCGGGTGGTGCCTCTGCACAGGCGTCGAGGTCTCCCTCATCACTGAGTTGTTCCGCCTGGAAAAAGCGACTCACCGCGGGAGGGTGCGACTCTGGTGGTTGAGCGGAGTGCTGGCGACTCGTCAAGGAGGAGCCATGGGTGTTGCGACTCTGTCGCCAGACTGTGGGGCATACATGACAGGAGTCAAACTGTTGCCAAACTGTTCTAGATTCTAGATTCTAGTCCATGCATGAAAAGGAGAGTGCGCTTCCTGTCATCTATGTGCCGTTCTCGTCCCATGTTCCACTCCACACGACCAGCCACCCCACCAGCCTCCGCCATCGCGCGCCTACAACTCATACGCCAAAGCTGAGGCAACTTTTCGAACCCTGAAGGTGTCACGGACTTCCTCTCATTGGACTTGGCCACAAGATCAGGAACCTTTGCAACCCCTTTAAGAAGTCTTTGCTTTTTGTTCATTCATTGATTCATGTACACGAGGTCTTCAGATCATACTCTTTTGCATTCTTTTTCCAGACGGGCTATCCCGCAAGTTCATGGAAGTACCTTCCCTGAAACAATCCAGGAAGTGTAAAATGACCTCTGGAAAGAACATGTTCCTCTACAAACAGGGCATTGTCCACTTCCATGTTTGATGGAGGGGTATGAAAAGGATCTCTGTCTTGACTCTTGACGACGCCTTTTCTCGCCCTCGCCGTCGCCCGAGGAATTCTCAGGCATCGCCGTCGATTTCACAGTGCTGAGGTTTCCACGTGGATCGCCGGGTTTCAGAGTAGATGGCACAAACACCAAAATGTCTTGTAGATGGAGGTCCATACAAACCACCAACCTTGGGGATTGTCAAATCTACTCTCAAACCACCGTTGAAAACTGAAGAAAAACATCCAACACCATGACCAGAATCTTCCCAGCAACCTCTTCGGGATGTTTTTCAGACATTGCTTTCGTGACCAAACTTGAAGATCTATGTGTAAGACATTGCAAGTTCGGTCAAACCATTCAGCACGCTCAAGCACTGGAAATGGAAATGGAAGTTCGGTCACTGGGATCTCATCTCAAGTTCGGTCACTGGGAAGGTCCTAAAAAGGTCACGCCGCACATCTTGACTTCTTCGCAGTCTCGGCGCGCGCTAGCATCTTGTCCGCGTCTCCTGTCACGTGAGAGGGCTATGTACCGACACGGCAAAAGCTGAGGGCCCTAACTGGTTGGGAGAATGGCTTGGCAATCACAATGGGCCTTTGAAAATTGAGACTTGCCATTTGCAACTGCCTATGTAGGGAAATCAGGAAACTGCCAACCCAGCTGCAACCAGCAAAGAAAGGGTGCGGAACATCAACGTCCTGACGTTTCCTGACCATGGCCATTGTCATCCATGTTCCTTTTAATTGCATCAAACTGTCTTTGCGAACGACGACGAGTCGAGTTAACTCGTTCGCACCCCCAGGGAGACCTGTTCCCCACGCCTCTGCAGCGGACTGAAGAGTTGTTCCATAAAAAGAACGACAGGACCATGTAGTCAAGTACCATCAAACACTCACAAATCGTAACTCACGATCCAAAACACTGTTCAAATGACGTTTCATGATCGAAGCTCTAGGATGACTCTAGGATGAACACTGAAATCCATTCATTATGAGCCGCTGACATTCTTCCTGCCTCAATGTGCCAGCCCCCTGTCCTCACTTGGAACGAAGGTCACAAGAAAACTGAACATGTCAAGCACTACTGCAAGCTGAGCCCCAGTTCGGCTATACCCAATCAGGACTCCTGGCAACCCACCATACAAACAACCACTTGAACTTGGGATTTGTGAAGGCTTAGGGGCAGTAGTATACCCTCCCAAAACTCACATGCATGGAAGAGCAATAGGGTCCGGAACACTAGTGTCCATGAAAGGAAGGATGGCTTCAACTTCCGCGTTGGTCTGTTGGGTATATATTACATATAATCCGCCGACCCCGTTCTAGTACCCAGAGCGTGAGCGTGAGCGGAACGGGGACGGCGTGTTCCTGAGAATAGTTCGGTATAGGTGTAGCTGGGGCTTGTCCAACAACCGGCGCTTTGCGAAACATCCACAAATTTTTGACATGGTTCATTTTTGAGGTGGAGTGGGGACCGTCAGGTTTTCTCTCTAGGTGCAGGCGGTGTCCAGGCTGGGGTCCCGGGTTCGACTCCCCCTGCGCACCCCCTGGACCTGGTGTGGAAAACATGGCGAACCCAGTCTTGTCTAGTGGTCCCGCGCGCGGGACCAGGCGGAGCCTAGACCTGCGAACGGCTAAAAGGCAGAACAACGAACGCCAAGTAGCACCTCATCAATTCCAATTGCAACTGGTGCTTTTCCAAAATAGAACTGGTGCCTTGAATGCACTGACCGCCTGACACCTTCCTCAACCATTCAGGCTCCACAAAGGGTGGGGTCATTTCCTTGGAGCCATGGGTTGGCGGGAGGTGTCCTCCGAAAGCGAAGCGGAGGAGAATACTGTTATGTGCTCTGGTTGTGCCACCCCAAAGTTTATTGCATAGCCTAGACCTGCCAACGGCTAAAATATTCTAGTACGATTGGGTTGTTGTATTAGTTTCTGATGCTTCGATAGAAAAAACAGGTAGTAGTCAGAAACGGTGGAGGTTGAACGACAGAACAACACCAAGTAGTACCTGCTAAACCCAGAACCTGGAAATAGTTGAGGTAAAGCCAGATTCAGGAGAATATGGAGTGTGCACCGACAAGTTTTGGGGTACCATAGGAATAAGCGTGCGAAAGTGTTCGAGCCCGTAAAAAGCGTAATTTCCAGGTTCGCAGGAGCCGAACCCCCGCGCTCTTCCCTCCGCCCGCGGCCGCTCTGAGATCGGCGGCTGCGGGCGGTAGCCCCTTATATAAAGATAGTATGATAGTATGATATAGTAAGCGCTTTGTCAATCTAACATGGTACCCCCAGTGCTCCCAGTTGAGCGCTGCCGGTTTGAGTAAGTATTGTAGGCCACAAGGTTGTCTTTCCCCACTGGCCCTGCACTATTAAATTTTATAAGGGTCAAGAAGAGCCTATCTGAGCTGGTCACCCCGCACCCAGTCATGACCTTCATCATGGGTGCACCCACGCAGGGTCACCTGCTGCCCAGCAAAATTTACAAACAAGTGTCAGGATAGCAAGAATTGCCAGCCCTTGGTGGCCATCTGGACGGGGCCAACTGTGAGGATTGAACCAAAAAAGGGGCCTGAGTGAGCAAGCTAATCTGAAGATCCCTGAAGTGGACATGTCCGACCTGTGCCCCCTACGAAAGCCTCATTTTGGTACACAAACAAGAAGCCCCGACGCAAATCAATCAAACAATGTTCTTCTCAACAACCGCACCACTTCCAAACGGCCATTCTGAGCGGACACCATGAAAATTGTTGCACCATCGAGCTTTGCTGCACTAATGGTGACGCTGGATTTTAATAACCCCTGTGGAACCTTTCTTGTTTGGAGGGCTATCAAAGACTGTAAATCTCTTCATGAGGAACAATTCCACAGACTATATAAATCTCATTAAATCTCTTTATCGCGGGCATTTGGATGGGATGAGCTGGATGAAGCAAAACAGGGATGAGTCAAAGAAGGCAAATGCATCACGCTATTTCGATTGGGATGAGCTGGATCAAGCTGAGAGGATTAGAAAGAAACATACAGAAACATACAATAATGAAGGAAAACACATACCAACAGGTTGTGTATGAACACATTGCGCGACCAAAGCCTACAAGGACATTTCCCGAAGGGACCTGTAAGCACGCTTCCAGCAAGTGAGCAGCACTATAGTACCCCAGCACACCAGCAGCAGCAGAAACCGGAACAAAAACAGAAACAGCAGCAGCAGCAAAGGCAAATATTATATTCAAGCGCATGATAACGGCTACTGACACGTGTTGGTCACAAAGCCAAATATCAAGAAAGGGCCGCATAAAATCTTAATGCCTTAACAGGAACGTGCATACCCATCCAACATGTGAGCCTTGCTAACATCAAGGGCCTGACAAATCAACAAACATAGTTTATATCGAATCTAACGTTATCTAACACATTCTTGATTCAACGACATTCTGGAATCAACCATGCCAGCGCCCCTTGATTTTGCTCGGAAAATTACAATATCAAACGGTCTGGGCCGGGGATTCTTGCCACCTCGCGGAATTCCACTCCGAGCGTCTCGCGCAGCCAGTCCGCACTGTGCGGTCTCCGCACTGTCCGTGGTGAGGACGCGCGGCCAGTCCCGGCACCGCGGACCTCTACGGAGTGGTCGCTGCGGTAACGGATCTCCCAGACGGAGCTGCCTGCGGCAGGACGGGTGAGGCGGGCTTCGGTCGAAAGCCCAGATGAGTTTTGGTCGTTGGGGGGGATTCAATTCCAGTTGTAAGTGCTGGAAACATGGTGGCGACCCCTGTTCGAACATATAACAAACAAATGTATAAAGGCTCCCAGCACCAATTCCCTTTATAACGGCAGCAACATATTCTGACATATTGCAAATGAACCGTGGTCAATATGGCTGCAAATGTGTTATTTGCGACAAAGCTGGAGAAACTTGGTGCTGCCGCCAAGCATGTAGTGGTTGGCTTTCATACCCTATCCAAACTTCATGGATCGGATGTCAAACCACCAACCTTCATCAGCCTGCATGGTTGTAGACATCCATGACCAAGGACAAGCCAATCTTTTAGCCATGCGGATCAGCAAATCAAGCTTCAGTTTAAGCCAAGTCGTGTCTCCGACAAGTACACATGGAACATCATGGAACTCTTCTTATTCCATCTTATTCCAACAAACAACTAGTTTTTCGTTGTTTTTTACCCACTCGTCGGTACTGCAGTCTACATGTCTTCTACAGTAGGAAAATGCAGCACATAGACCCAACTTCGCTCGTCCCGTGTCCTTCGCTTTCTCCGGCCTGGTGGCATCTTCAAGAGCGCCCGGACACCGTCCGCCGTGGGTCTGGAGGGTGGAAAGATCTGCGCAACGGTGGCCGTCAGAAAAAGCGCAGCGAACAGGCCCGTGACTGCAGGGTCTCCATTTTGGGAATGTTTGGAAAGCATTCAGCATACAGTTGCCATCACGGTCATAATGCATCATAATGCCAAGTCAACATGACGCTCACAACCAGTCCCTCCCCTCAAAACAAAATCCCAGATGACTCATTGAACCACCCACCCAGCGCATGGCCGCGCCAATTCCAGACCCCTCAACCCTCCTTCCCCGCCTCGCAGCAAGCACCGCTGGCGAGCTCCACCCAAGCGATCGGTCCCTGGGTTGCAGACGACGCGAGGCGCACTTTGGCACCCCGGCCATGCGTCAAGAGGCGCTCCTCACAGCGGGAGTCTGCGAAGTGTGCGAAATGGAACCGTTCAGCACAAGGGAAGTGGACGGGAAACTCGTGCACATCGGATTCCACTTGCAACGTCTTGCGGGTTGCGGCTTCAAGTGTTGGGCGGGCGAACCCAAGAATCCCGAAACAAATCAAGTACTGCACAAAGGGGCCAGGGCCAAACGCGCTCCTTGCACATCACCCCAAGTTCACTGTACTGAGCGTGTTCTTGCGGACTCCTGAACAGTTTCGAGAACAACAAGAGATGAACGCGGAAAGGCACAAGTTGCGCTGAGAGGAAAGGCACACCTCACCTGCTCTTCAACCCTATCTGCTACATGGCACAAACCAAATTCATCCAGGAGTCACATGGAGTTGGGTGGTGTTTAGTCCCATCCAGTGAGTGGATCATGGGCACCCCGACTACCTCCATGGATCGCACCCCTTTGGAACTGCTGGACTACTATTTTCGCCTACACCGCAAGCAGTTTCTTGGCAAATGGAAGTACAGCTATCATGCCTTCGCGAGCCTTCGCAGGTAACCATCAGGCCTTTAGGGCACGGTGGTTGACTTCGGTCACGACTCCCCGCCTGTTTTCGCCACCCCAATGCAGCAATTCTTTGGCTGTTGGAAGGCCACTTGGCAGTTCTGCTTCCACCATCAACAACACTGTGTCCTGACATGGTCTCCGTGGGACTGTTCTTTTCTCAAGTCCCCGTCCACCATCCAGGCATGCGCATTCCATGTGGATCCATACACTATATAAAGCAACACCTAAACAACTAAAGAGCATCTTCCAATTGGCTTGCCCTTTCCTCACCTCAAGCAGCTGCCCTTTGGTCAACTCCTCAAAGAGGCCCCACACATGGCTGCGGTGAGCTGCCATGAAGCGCGTCTTCTCACAGGCAGAGGCACGTGGTGCGCGTCTTCTCACTCGTGGTGCAAACCTATGTGCAACTGACACCTGTTGGCCTAGGTCGATCGTGTGCGGCCATGAAATGTCATGATTAAACAGAATCCAACCATATAATGATATAATGATATATAATGTTTGTTCAAGGGACAACAACACAGCCGCTAGGCTCTCAGACCCTCGAGCCACTAGGTTGCTTGCTGATGGTTGGATCTAGGTGAAACGAGCATACGAGTCCACCGTGCACAGCTCGACGGACGTTCCACAAAGAAAAACATCTCTGCGTGTGGGTGTGTGTGTGTGCCTTCAAACCTCTGTGTGTGTGTGCTGCTCTGTGTGGCCCAACCTCAGCTGGTCCAATGTAGACAATGTAGACCTGTGATGATGTTCTCAGAGGATTCAACCCCTGTTGGGCGAGTTCGTCAACACGACTACTTTTTTCACAATCGTTCTGAAAAAACGGAGCCCACCTCGCTGCCGCTGGGCCCTGCCTGTGAGCAATCACTGGGGGAACAAAATAAGCGGGCCCAGCGGGGGCATGATAAAAGGAACAATACCCAAACACTCCATGTCTTATATATGCCTACATTGACCCCTCAAACCACCCCAACTGATCGGTACATATGCCAGTCATTGGTCGTGTCTGGCAGATGTGACCTCTGAAAACCCCCGCAAAACGTGGGATCTTCTACCCGAATCCCAACGAACCCGACACCGAAACGCGTCGGACACCAAACCAAGCCCGAACGCCATTGGAGAAGGGCCCGGATTCTTAGGGTAAACAAAAGCTTGGTATACCCTGTTCCCTTCTGCCATTCACCGGGTCATCTCTGGTCGGGTCTTTCCGGGGAAGGATGGTGTTTCGGGACTGCGAAAAACATCAGGCTAGGATTATGAAGCCCACTTAGCATGAAGCCTTGCTGCTGGAAAAATCCAGAAAATGCATGCATTTTGCCTATTGGAAATGCATGTTGAAATCGCCTGCTGCTCAACATTCAGCTTAATCACTGGCGCTTTACACCATAACCTGGGTGGACAGTTTGCCAATGGGCATCTAGAATCTAGCCGCTAAGATAAGAAACAAAGAGTAAACACACTTACATATATACATAATATATATATATTCACATATATATATAAATACATATTACTATAAAATATTTATATATATACGCATTGTACAATCTTCAAACACTTCTATTTTGAGGGATATGATGGAGTTGTGCCTCTTCTCAATTCGTTTCTCCCCGTCTCAACTCCGCCAGTCGCGACTCTTTTGAAACTTCTGCGCACTGGTGCGGTGAGTTTGCAGCTCCGGTTCCGTTCTGGTCCGGTCGACAGTTCAAAGGCACCCTCGTTGAAGTGCAGTGATAAATCCAAATTCCCACTGGCACGCAAGAACTCTTCAGATGCCTTCGGATTCTCTTGGGAGCTTCCGATCATCCAGCTACCACCACTTTTGAGCTGCGAAGTTACACCATCTGCACATGTGATATATATTATATTGTCTATATACAGGCTCATCTAGCTTGAACTGGGTGTCTTCCAAATTGCAAGTGGGTGTTTGATTTGGAATAGAACCTTGTTGTCAAGTTTCTTGCTGGCTCCGTTAAAAGCATGTAACACAGCCATGTAGTTTATTTGGTCCTGCTTGGGAGCAAAGAGCTCTAAGAATGAGGCAACATCCACATGCGCCGGATACACGCAAGACTGACCTATATATACAGTCATGGAACTTCAAGAACTTAGATTTCTTCGTAGTGGGCAGCCATGCCAGCGTGGAGATATGATGATGATGGAGACGTTACGTGTGAAGAGTCCGCAGAGACCATCTCCTTCCTCTCAACCAAGAACATAATCCACCGCTTCTGGCGCCACAGCCAAGCACCACTATTTCAAAAGTTTTGCGCCACATTTTGATAGAGCTTTCGCTTCAAGATTTTTAAAGCACTTGGATGGAAAACGTGGACCTGTCGGAGTTGCAAAAAGAAAGGCTTGACTTTGACCGGGACGTTGCAACTTCAATAGGTCCAACTCGTACTTCACACTATTTGCCAGATCTTTCTCGACCCTCTGCGGAGTCATGTGTTGACGTAGGTCTGTGCGGCCCCGAGGGTTGCCTGGGCCAGCTGGAAGCACCAACCACTGCGCTTATATGCTGATTGCTCAATATGCCCAGCTCGGACGCGTGAAACTTTCTCGGTTTGACATTTACCTTGTATTGGTGCTCGGGAGCGGAGGGCTCAACGATCTTGGATTGGAAGATTATAATTGGAGCAGTCGGACGCAAACACCTGAAGCTTGTAGGTGAAATGTGCGCCCGAAGCTTCAGTGCCTTGCGCCCGGCCAAGCTCGTTCAATGGGGCCTTGCAGGAATGAATGAGTTGGAGACGGAAAACCCGTCACAATTTTGCCAGCCAAATTGATTTGGCCGGGAAAACCCGTCACGTTTCAGACCCGGGCCCCAGCCCCAAAACCAAAATGTGATGGTTTTTTTGAAAATCCCGTCGCAATTAAATAAGGAAAACGAAAACCCGTCAAACTTTCCAGCTCATCCCCAACTTCAAAAAGTGATGGGTTTTTCCAAAACCTACTTCGTGACTTTTGGTACTTGAGGCTAGCTGAGGTACATCAAGTGAACTTATTGAACTTATAACATAAGGTACTTATAGCTAGAAATAAGTAGAAACTAAGTAGAAATTAGCTAGAAATAGCTAGAAATAGTTAGAAATTACCTTGAAATACCTAGGAAATAAGTACAACTTAGATATGTCTAAAAAATGTGGTTTCTTATGTTTTAATGTTTTTCCTATGTTTTCGATTTATTACAAAAAGAAAATGTGTTTTCTCTTGAACATATACAAGTTTTATAAAACAATTCTATGCGGCCTAAGGGACGCTCTGATGCAGCAGAGCGGCCGTGAGGCCGCTTTCCTTTTTCTTTCAAGCAGCTAGCCATGTTTTTTTTTGCTAAATGGTTTCGACAATTTAGCATAGTATTCTTTATCTTTACCGCCACGGCGGCGTTTTCGGCCTCCACTTCATCAGAAAGATCAGATCCGACTAGATCTCTATTAGAAAAATTGAGCCAAACTTCAATACATCATCCAAATTATGGTTTCAATCTATGATTGAAATTTTACAAGAACTATATATTTAGACATAAAATATTGATTGTTCTTCTTGATTGAAAATGAATGTATTGGAATGTATCGGAATGTATCGGGTCATCCTGGGGAGTATGAAAAGTAAAGCCAATACATTCCGATACATTCCAAT